TGTGCCTTCTATCGGGCTAATTCCAAAAAAAAAAACACAAACTTTACCTTGAGTGATCATTCTGGCCCCGACTTTTCTTTTTTTTTGTCTCAATAAAAGGCACCAAATTTTACTCAAGTCACAAATCTAGTCTCCGTAATGTGAAATTTTCAAATTGTTTGGGCCAGATTTGGGATTTAAATAAAAGTTTTTGATTTTTTTAATGAGACCAAAAAAAGTTCGGGACAGGATTGTCACTCAAGAAAAAGTTGATGCTTTTTTTTTTTTTGTGGAATTAGGCCGGCCTTTCTATCTATAAAATGCTGTAATTTTTTGTAGTATTTTATGACCCATCGACACATTTTCACGATTACAAAGTACTGTTGCTTTTAACCTTTTGTACTCGACGATCCAACTGTAAATGAAACCGTGTATAATTAGGAGTTGATACGTAAACAGAAGCTCGCCTCCAAAAGTTACATTGATTCGAATTCTCACAAATGGTGTTTGAGCATCGCATTGATGCCGAGTTATGACAAATTTCATAACGAGCGGTGAAGGGATTCCACAAAGAAGGAAATCTTGAACAGCAATGCCGTTAAATATAACCGAGCAAAACTTTACAAGAAAAGGAAACGAAAAGAACCGGATTATCTCATACCCAAGTACCACCTTTCGCACCCCGCCGGAACTAATCATCGCACCGGAAGCGCGACTACTTAGGGCAGAAAAATTCAAAGGGAAAAAAAAAAAAAAGGAATCACGACATCTGACCCGCGATCATCGGTGATCGGACTATCGGATCCGGTGAGACCCGCATGAGTCCCGCCTTTTTCAACGGTCCAAATTCAGATCGATACACACACCGGACTCGTGCGGTACTAATCAGTGGAACATGGCGATACGTAGGCATGGCGGCGTCCCGTTATGGATCGCATGGCATGGGTTCGATTATAATAAGAGTAAAGGACCGTCGTACCACCAATAGAAAATAGGAAAAATCAGAGTCAAAAAGAGCCATAATTTATGCCCAAGCTTTCGATCGATCCGTGAAAATTTTCTCAGAAAGGCTTAAACCCGTTGAATAATGAAAAGGGAAACTACAAGTACCCATGTTGCACATGTGAAGTAATTGCTGAGGATTTAAGAGGAAGTACTTTATAATTGTTGAGGATCTAAGAGGAAGTAGTCTATGTAACGTTTGTGACGTACTTACGCCGGACCGTCACCGGCACTTATGTACTAGGGCACGAGTACAAGAAAAGTCTCAAACCTTGCGTACGCAATGTAATTGAACCCTAAACCTTTTTATCGGTCCAATTAAGTTGTAATCCAAAAAGGGAGAAAATTGTCCACAAAAAATACTAAACCTATTGCGCTTTTGCCAATTCGGTCCTAAACCTTTCGGTTTTATCAAATGAGTCATAAATATTTTTACGCTTTGTCAATTGAGTCCATCCGGCCAATTTTAGATGAAAATTGATGACCTGGACGCCGATAGTCCAACATGGATAGATTTTTAATACTATTTTAAATTTTTTCTATATTTTCAAAATTAGTTTTTAGTTTTTTTCTTTTCTTTTCTTTCTTGTTCTTTTTCTTCTTCCGACCTCGGAGAGGGCCGGTCGACCCTTGCTGGACTTGATAGAAAAAAAAGGAAAAGAAAGAAAGAAAAAATAATAAAAAAAAATTGTCCCCATTAGTTTCGGCCATCCTACGTGGCACTACCGGGGCCCATGTCAACGATTTCCTATTAAAATTGGCCGGATGAAATTAATTGGCAACACGTGAAAAAGGTTTAGGACTCAATTAGCAAAATCGAAAGGTTTAAGATTGAATTGGCAAAAATACAATAGATTTATGACATTTTGAACAATTTTCCTTCCAAAAAGTGCAACCGAGCTATTTTGATGGATAATACTTGAAATTGCCTACCTATCACTCGAAACAGCATGCGCAGCATCCTTAAAATGTTTTCGGACTTAATTGCATTTTTTTAATAACGGCTGGAAACTACATCGAACCATTAGAATTTCGTCACGTCCTCCACGGAGTAGACTCGTGCTCTCAAGAAAACAAAAAAATGAAAAATGAAAACCGGTGCTTGTTGAATTTTGGCAAATGTTACATGCACAAGTAACCTTACGAAAATTGAATTACTACAGCGAATATTATTTGCGAAAAGTTTTTCTTTTTACAAAATCCCCACTCAAAATCGTGACACGTGCTCATCGATTTGATTAATCCTATTTATAATCGTGACGATAATACGGTTATTAAGACAAGAAAGCCGCGCACGTGTCATGACCCCAATAAGAACAAAGAAATTCTAGTCCACGTTTATAAGGTTCAACGGAACCGGGTTTTCAAGGGACGTGGCAAAAAGTTGGAAGTTGACGTGTCATTGTGATATTCCAATTTTCATCTCTTTTTCAGCTAAAATAATGAGTTGGGAAAAATAATTACTTGTATCGTCTAAAATAATTAGTCAATGAATAAATTTTTCATTATCGATAACAATTTATATCTAGATGTTTTCGTCGAGGTGAATTTTTTTTTCCTTCACTTGTTTTCGTAAGTGGTATAAGCGATCATTTTAAAGAAAAAACGGGCTCAAGTTCAAAAAAAGAAAAATATTTTCATCTCTACGTGATGTACGACGACGTATGTCTAATAATGGCCGACAAAGATACCGACTAATGAGATTGGCGAACTGTCGGGGCATCAAGAGACAGACGCAAAACGAGTATCAAGTTGTAGGTATAGGCCGGAAGTTGTTGAACGACAAAGTGATTGAAGTTGTGGAGCAATAGGCACACGTTTCAAAGGAACAACCATTCGAGGATGAGATGGAAAAACATAGATACAATTGCCGGAAATTGCTCAAGAGCAGTTATGGCATAACCACTATAAAATACCACCGATCATTTACTGAAACCCCCGCACAAATCAAACAAATAGAATCTTTCAATTATCTTTACTTTCCCGCATTATACTTCTGTTTTTTACACTCACATTGTCGATTAAATTCCGGCGTATTTCTTAGTTGTAGTTTCGAGATCCGCCTTGTCAGTTACATTCCGGCGTAACATCTTTGCATTCTCAAGCTTTGTCATCGATTAAATTCCAGCATTAAGTTCGGTACCGTTGTAGAGTCTGTATTTCCCAGGCCTTGTTGTCGATTAAATTCCGGCACGTTTTGGGTTTGCACGGTTCAATTAATTCTGTCCGAAGTAAAGTTTTTGATTTCCTTATCTACCCATGATATCTCTTGTCCAAAGTCGCCATAGAATATGTCTCATTCAATTAAAAATCGAAGAACGACTTTCGGTGACAGGTATTTCGTCGCAAGAGAAATCCCGACGAAAGAGGCGACATGGACTCGAATGTTCTTTAATTTTGGTCATTCAATGTGCTTAATAGTTCTCGTTCTGCATTAACCGAACTTGTATTTAAGTTCTTTAAACCCTCTTGAATATTCAACCGAGCTCTCCCCGAGGGAGTAGAAACCAAATTTCATTCCCACTTCTCATACACACAGAACGACTGACCTTTCCAACCTTGGTGAATCTGTCCAAACGTGACTTGAAATTTGAACACGTCAAAGATTTCCAAAGGTTTCGAATCCTTAAAATGGCAATTGGTTTGGCCTCCAAAGAATGGTCAGCTCGTCAACAACCACTCACGTCACCATCAATAGAAATCGAGAAACCACACACGACAATACCACCACGGATCACGAAAGCTATAATCCATACGCATCTGTCAATTGAATTGACTATCAACATGTTGTATATTCAACTACGAAATCGTGAGGTTTTCTTGGTATTCTATGACCGCGTGTTACATTTTGACATCTATAGAACAATATCACAACAATACCGTGGATTGCGAAAGCGAATCGATGCGTACCTGTCGATTGAATAGATTATCAACACATTGTACATTTGACTACGAGACCATGTTATTTTCGCAGTATTTGTATGATGCGTGTTACATTTCAACGGTTATAGAATAACATTATGCAAGTTCTTCGCACTCTACGTGTCGACAATAAATGAAATGGCATGTAAAAAATTCTGTCATTATGGTTAAGCTAGTCCTAGGTTTTTATTATGCAATATAGGTCACGATGCATACTTGTGTAAACATGTACCACGAACTAAGATATACTCGTCACCGTGCACCAGACAAAATACTTGTTTTGGGTATTTGTCGAATTGTAGTTTTGACGGGCTTCTTCATTCAAGATTCATAAAGTTATAATTTCGATTCGTGATCCGGCAACTCGAGTTACAAACAAAAACTTCCTGTCAAATGCACACACTGCCAAACCAAGTTATCATCAATCCAGCAGGAAGAGTTTTAGGAAGCTGCAGGGCACAAGAATGGGGACAGCCATACCTGTCTTTCTCAGCCTCTTTCTTAACCTTTAGCCATCCCTTATTATTTTAGTCATCAAACACCAGCTTTGAACGTTGACTCCACGGCCCGAAATAAAAATATGAAAAACAAGGAATCACGTTCTTTACTTTTTCCTGGATGGGTTCTGTGATGTGAGAATGCTCTCTTGATTCTTCAACCTCCTCCTCTTATCTCCTCTGCAGCCTGATCTTTCTGTGATAAAAGTTTCCCCACTACCGTGATGTGACTATTGACCCCACCTCTGCAAAAACGTCATCTTGTGCCTATATATGTATGTATCTGCTCTCCTCACAGTTCAGACTCACAAAGCTCAAGAGCTGCGGGGAAGGGCCATTCTTTTGAACATACGATACACACTCGCACCATGGTCAAACCCAGCTCTCTTCTTCATCTTCTTGCTTCTGTTGTTCTTGCCATCTCTGTCTTGCTTGGCCATGGTGTTCTCCATGTTGGAGCCTCTCACAGAGTCTACAAGGATTTGCAAACCACTGTTGAGTCCACCGCTGTGAAGCAGCCTTACCGGACTTCTTATCATTTCCAACCTCCCAAGAACTGGATGAATGGTTCTCTCTCTCTCTCTCTCTCTCTCTCTCTCTCTCTCACGCACACACACACACGTTGGTGTCCACCACGATGTAGCTAACAGTTTTGTTTTGCTTTGCTGGTTTATTCTTCGTGTTGATTTGACCTGGTCTGGTGGTGAAATGGACGAACCGGCTTCGTGGGATTCTCAGATCCAAATGGTCAGTCTCTCTCTCTCTCTCTCTCTCTCTCATGATTTGCTTATTTTCTTGGTCTCTTCCCCCCTAATTATTTAACTTGTTTCTTGACGTTAACTCATTATTTTATCATACCAAAACCATCAATTAGTTTCGTTGTTTGTTCCCCTGGTACTTACTGTTAATATTTCTATGAGTCGAAAATTAAACAAAGAAAAATGATTGACTATCTTTAAGATGAAGAGCTTATTTTGGGCCATAAAAAAAATGACAAAGGATTATAAATTGTTGTGAGTCTTTCCTTGACGAATTTGTGGCTCACAACATGCTAATACTCTCGTAGTGATCCAAAGACTGTTATGCTAACAAAGCCTTTAAACAAATATGCAGCCGCAGTAATAATTCTCTTTATTTCTCAACATGCTTCAGTATTTTTTCTGTCACACTCATAAAGATCATATTTGTTGTTTACCTCAATATTGTTGGTTTTTAAATCTTGGGAAATTACCTGTTAAACTTAAAGCGGTGAATATTTTGTCATGTAGGACTAGGACCACAGAGACCCCAGAGTTTTTGTTTTGAATAATATGCTTGCCTGGTCGCTTTACATCACTTATTTACCAAGCTTAAATTATGTGGAAATGACCTGCTAAAGTCAAAAACAAATGGATACACGCACTGCAGGGCTAATGATTTACAAGGGCATATACCATCTGTTTTACCAATACAACCCGAAAGGTGCGGTATGGGGTAACATCGTCTGGGCCCATTCCACGTCGACGGACCTCGTGAACTGGACCCCGCACGTCCCAGCCATCTTCCCGTCTCAGGAGTCCGACATCAACGGCTGCTGGTCAGGCGCGGCCACCATCCTCCCAGGGTACAAACCGGCCATGCTGTACACCGGAATTAACCCCCTGAACCAGCAGGTCCAAAACTTGGCAGTGCCCAAGAATTTATCAGACCCATATCTGCTTGAATGGGTGAAATCACCCCACAATCCTCTGATGGCACCCACAGCCAAGAACGGGATCAATGCAAGCTCATTTAGAGACCCCACCACTGCATGGGTGGGCCCTGATGGGAGGTGGAGGGTGATCATTGGGAGCAAACGAGACAGGATGGGATTGACCATTTTGTACAGAAGCAAAGACTTTGTTCACTGGACCAAGGCTCAACACCCACTTCACTCTGCTAAGAACACTGGGATGTGGGAGTGCCCAGATTTTTTCCCAGTCTCTACTCAAGTCCCTGTTGGCTTGGACACCTCCATTATCGGGCCAAACGTTAAACATGTGCATAAGGTGAGCTTGGATGACACTAAGCATGATTACTACACTGTGGGGACTTATAACTCCATTGAGGATAAGTATGTTCCCGATGAGGGATCAGTAGATAGCGATTCAGGGTTGAGATACGATTACGGCAAGTTTTATGCTGCCAAGACCTTCTTCGACAGCAAGAACAACCGGCGGATCTTGTGGGGTTGGATCAATGAGTCGTCCAGTGTGGAAGATGACATCAAGAAAGGATGGTCCGGGGTCCAGGTAAACATTATTATTCCTATTAATATGATTATTGTTAAAGATGAATGAATGGGTAAAAAATCAAATGTTAGATTCACCTAAATTAGGTGAAGTTGGGCTTATTATGTTTACTGGCCTATTCAAGAGTTGACGTCGGGAACGGGTTGTGTGGCAGGCAATTCCAAGGACCCTTTGGCTAGACAAATCTGGAAAACAGCTGGTGCAGTGGCCAATATTGGAATTAGAGAAGCTACGTACCGACCAAGTTGATTTGTCCAACAAATTGATTAAGGGAGGAACAGTTCTTGAAGTGTCTGGTATCACAGCTGCACAGGTGAGCTTTTCTGGTCACATTTCCATCAGGCATGTTCATAGGGTTCATTGGAGCTATAAGCCACCCACGAATCCTAACTCTTTGCTTTTTAATTTTCAATAAGAGATATATACCCGATGTTCGGCTTGTGGCAATGGTTACTCTATAGGCTTCATCTTCATCGGTTTTCTTGGTTTTTCTTCAACAAACTTGAAATTTACTATGACTATCAGACAGTTCTTCATGGGCCTGTGACTATTACTGAATCCACCACACTCATTACCTTGATAACATAAGTTAGCAACACTGAATTACTTGACACATGAAGATACCAACTTCCCCATTAAGAAAGGTTCCTTTCAAGGGAATATCATCCCGTGCATTTTTGACATCGCACTATAGGCCGACCTGACTCTTTTGCGAACCTAACTCCCTGTTCCAGAATGCTAAAATGGGTATGGTCCCTTCAATCTCCTTTTATCATTGTGCAGGCAGATGTGGAGGTCTCATTCGAAGTAAAAGAGCTCGAGAAAGCAGAAGTGTTAGACCCAACGTGGACCAACCCACAAATGCTGTGTAGCCAAAAGGGTGCTTCGGTTAAAGGCAGTCTTGGACCATTTGGATTGCTGGTCATGGCTTCAAAAGGATTGCAAGAATACACAGCAGTTTTCTTCAGAATTTTCAAAGGCCAGAACAAATATGTCGTCCTCATGTGTAGTGACCAAAGCAGGTCCAACCTCCCTCTCTTTAATTTATTTCTTTATCTCTAGGGCATAGATCCCACCTACCCTTCCCCAAAAAGTATCTAATTTTTCTGGTCTGTTTTTTGGCTCTCTGTATTTCTCTTTTCAGATCTTCCCTTAACAATAGCAATGATAAGACCACGTATGGAGCATTTCTGGATGTGGACCCTGTTCACGAGAAGCTGTCCTTGAGGACCTTGGTGAGTTCATTAATAGATATGAGCACTCCATATGTGTATGATCTAGACTTGGAAACTCTTTCTGCATATCAAGTCTGGTCAATCTCTTCATTATATTCATAAACAAATGGATCATTATAAGTGTAAGTTGTAAATTGAAACCCCATGGTGCTGATTTCCATAAAGCTTTCGTTGAGATTCCCACTGACCAAATCTAGCCAGATTCAGCATCTTTTTCAGTCGTGACTTTTTGATTTGTCCCAACTCTGCATGTGGAAGCTTTACTCATGCTTGGATTTCAGATAAATGTCTCTATCTCCTTGCACTATTCTATGTTTAGGTGTTGTCGCCTGTCCTGCCACTTCGGTATGATTCTCCATCTTTTGCATGCTTCAAAAGCTAAAAGCTTCTTGAACCATCCTCCATTTTTAGCAAAACCCATTTAATTTAGGCGCTCACTTGTTGCATCCGTTAAAAGGAAACAAAGATGACAATTCAGTGGCGAGAAGCCACGTTACTGAATCCAAGAATATCGGAATTCATGATTTCAAATAATGATTAACTTGCTTTGACTCTCTTTTTCCCCCTTTTGCCTGTAACAGATAGATCATTCTATAGTGGAGAGTTTTGGTGGTGGAGGGAAGAGTTGCATCACAGCTAGGGTTTACCCCGTATTGGCTGTGGAAGATGGAACCCACTTGCATGTCTTCAACAATGGGACTCAGAGTGTTGGAGTGCCAAAGTTGAGTGCTTGGAGCATGAAGAAAGCTAAAATCAATTGATCCCATCTGTTTAAGTAAATGAGGGAAATGACGCATGAAGGAAAAGAGCGAGGGCAAGAATCAGTGTGATGGAGTTTTTTTTTATGATTGAAGGAAGAAGTGAGGGGAATAAAATTGTTTGCTTGTTCGCTTATCAAATAAAAAATTTGAAACGAGTGTTACTATTGGAAAAAGAATAATCAGGGATTTCAAATGTCCCCTTAAATTATAACAGAAGGTTATTTGTCCGTCTTGTTTAGCTGAGCACTTGTGATTTGATATGGAGGAAATTGGCATATGTTGAAAGATATGGTTTGGGGGAAAAACCTGAAAAATGCTAAGAAATATATCTTACGCAACCAAAAAGAGGCTTGTTTATAGAAGACAGCAGACCGTGCTGGTGAATGCAACTTCAACAATTACAAGCACAACATAAGTAACATCATCACCACTAGGAAAAATGCAAGGGAAATAATGCTAAAGAAAAGCAAGGATTTGACCATTTATTGTTGCTACAGGCCTATTCCTCTTTCATCCCGTTCCCAGCGCATTGATTTGTTGGGAGACTGTAAGAGAATTCTCTATTCTTCACTTGACAACAATTGGCCCTTGTTACTGTAAAGTCGATCGTGCAGAAACAATTGCACTTCGCGTTAACCAACATTCTCTGATCGGCAGATGATGAACAGCCTTTAGTCCATGACATCAATAGATAACATGACTCAAAGGAGACAATAATTTTAGTACTGTACGTACAGGCATACAAATTCAATCATATTGCAAACCCTTCTTCATTTTATTTTGCCTATGTTAAACTAATGGCAGATGTAACCACAACCATTCAGATGCCAGAATCAAAAATTGAACTTGTTACAAATCATATATATAAGACATGCACAAAATGCTGCATTTGTCTTCCATGGAGGAAGAACAATCTAAGCAACATAGCAGGAGGCTTTGCCAACTTACCAGATGACCCAGGGCATCGAAAGAAAGTTCTCTGTATCAACTTAGAAAATGCAGGCCTATCTCATTGTTTCGCTTTAAGTGCTTCAATGACTGCTGAAAAGTCCTGGTCACTCAGACCGTGAGACTTTGCCACTTTGTACAGTTCGTTTGTCGCTGCTGCAATGGGCGTGGATTGGGAAACAGATTCTGCTAACCCCAGAGCAAGCCTCAGATCCTGCCAAAGTAAATAATATTGAGAGAACATGTACAGATTCTATTTAGTTGAGGGTTGTCCTTACAAGTTTACAAACCTTCTGCTGATGCTTCAAAGGAAACGCCGGGGGATACTGGGATTGGACCATCGAAGGACCTTTGACCGAGTACATGGGTGCACTAATGGCTCCCTGTGACACCACCTGCAATATCACTAGGTCCTAGTCTTAACGTATCCTAAGAAAGAGCTTAGTTTGATTGATAAGAGTAAAACATAATAACCAAACCGATGAAAGATAGGATTTATCTAAACAGTAATCTTTTTGTCTGCTACTTGAGCTCAAATCCTTACTTGTGAGCTTCAGGCATTGTTCATTCACTTAGCCCCTATAGACAATAATCTGATTTGAAATGGGGCATGCTCTTCACTTGAACAGCTCTGTAGCATCATATTACTTGGTTTACAAAATATCTTTAAATGGTTATGAGTCTTGTTAAACTTTATGCACAAAAGTACTCCATAGTTTTGCAGTTTAGACATTTAGCATGCAAGGTTAAATCTGGTAGACTAATAGACCCTAAGCATGATGAATGAGCAAAGATACCAAGCAGCAAGTTTCTAAGACAAGTTTTATACCATTCCACCAGTGAACCTGACAACATTCATGTAATAGATATCCCTACAATTTTGTGGTATTACGGATGAATTAAAGGAAGATGATACCATTCACTGGAGCAACAGAAAAATAAATAACTCTGATCATCTTATATCAACAATCCATAATTCATTGATGCACTGATATCCTTTCAGATACAGAAATGTCAATTCAACATATCCATATTTTGTCAAAACAATATCGCAGACTATGACTTATAGACAAATTAGAGTGCGGCCATCAATAATGCATCTAATGTAATTCACATAAGCATTATTAGCAAGTGTATAAAGCACGTATCCAGACAAAAAACAGCGTATAAAGCAATCTCTTGTGGTTAAAAGAAGTACCTCTACAAGTACGTTAGGATCCAACCCTACTTTCTCGCTAAGGAGTAATCCTTCGGAAAATGATGCCATCATACTAGTCAATGTCAAGAGAAGAGTGAGTTAGGGTTAGCAAGCATAATGATCAGCAGTGCATTCATGAAATAGATGAAATAGAAAAGAAAAAATTCTGCAGCACCTTCCCATGATCATGTTGACAACAAGTTTCATAGCAGCTCCATTTCCAACATCACCAAGGTAAAATTTTGACTGGGTACAAACACTATTACCATAAGCACAAGGATCATATTTGGCAAAAGAAGGAGAACTCTATAAAAAAAGAGACTACCTTTCCCATGATGTCAAGAAATGGGGCAACCATCTCATATAGAGCTTTGTCACCTGAACAATTACCAATACTACAATTACTCTACGGCGTACTTCAGTCCCAAAGAGATGTCATTTGTATCTATGAGCAAAATATATTCTTCAAAGTTACTAGGAATTATACTACTTCTATAATGTTCCATTCCAGGTATTCCACACAAGAATTAACATTGAATAGGAAATGTACCATGAACCACAAGTTTAAACTACTTAATGGACAAAGGAAATGGAACAGGGCCTACCTGCTGTGAGAAAAATCAATTGCCCATCTTCAGCGGGCTTTTTGGAGCCTGAAACAGGAGCCTGGAGGAATTGCACTTGCTCATGAAAAGAGTTTCATGAAATCTAAATCATATCACAGTGTTCCACTTAAAATTATACTTCATCTCTATATAGCCAAGTATAAATACAAGATAACAACTTTACCTCCAGAAATAGCGCTCCAGTGCCCTTGATATGACCACTAATCAACTTAGAAGTGGTCCCATCAACTGTCGAAACATCCACATACCTGCCAATGAAAATGCATATTATTCAATTTTCTTGCAATATGTTATTTTGCATGAAAAGAAGTACTTGAATGTGTATGAGCAGATGCCTACAAGATCCACTTGGAGAATGTCAGTATAGAGCAATCATGCATGCAGTTCCCAAGTTAATCAGAAAGCCGTCAAAGATTGATGCAGATAGGCAGAGTGGAGAGAGAGAATAGGAGTTTTAAGTCTGATAATATAATATAGGGTAGAGACAATTTGAAATGGCCATGCAATTGAAAAAATCAGGCTTCACATGTTATCTGCTTCAATGCATCAGAAACTATTCTTAAAGTTCACAAATGACTTCAATGATTTTCTTTTGGCCAAACTAACTTCGATGATTAGAACCTAAGTTATGTAATAACTGAGCCTCTAAACAATCACAGGGATACAAAACATGCCCCACAATGCTGGAAAAGATAAAGCATCAACTCCTCAAATGGTCTCTCACCAAGAACATAGCACAAATGCCCATCTCATACAAATATAAGCAATACTCATAGAGAAAAAGAAACAAATTAATAGTACCCTTTTCCTGGACTCATTCCGTTAGCAGCTCCATGCTTCCCACATGCAACATCGACCTATGCTCAAGCAGCTCTTAGTCACTGAAAAGATTGAGCCACAACAAGAAAAGCAACATTGAAACATACGCACTGCACTTTCAGGATCAGCGAGCATGGCAAACGTGACATCACAAGTTGCAGCGACTTCTTCAGGAGAGGATTTATATCTGCAATAAGGGTCAACAAGGAACTCTCATATTTGATCTTCCCTGGCATGACTTTTGCATTGCAATCAGATGAACATGGCAACCAGTGCCTTTGACCCATTGCAGTTGGAATGATCCATTTGGAAGATATTAAGCAGCAGCCTTGCAGAGATATAAACTTACCAATACCAATCCACTATCAAAAACACATGCTTACAGAATTAAGAATCAAAAGTCCAGAAGCATAAAACTACATTGTTAACTCAATTACGGAGACAAAATGCATCACAAAGTTCACATGTGAACATGCTCATAGATATAATGGTCCGAAAGCAACGACTTACTGTGCACCCAAGCTTATGAGAGAATCACATTTGCTCTTGGTTCTGTTCCAGACGGTCACATCACATCTAAAACAAAAGCGGAACATCAGATTGTGGAGTATATACTAGTCGCTTCAGTTTGTCACTGACAAATGGCTTATGCAAGGCTTTAGCATCTGGAAAGAGTAACTCTTAAGTCTAAATACATTTTGACTCAATTAAACTGAGAACCCAGCTACTAGTCCATCAAGTGAAAAAAGCAAAGGGAAAGGGTAATAATAAGCAGAAAGACAAGAAAGTTTCTCTACCCCGCCTTGATGAGATTCTGTGCCATTGGCGTACCCATGATTCCAAGACCCAAAAACCCTATTCGTCCTGGTATTTCCTTCGCTGCAAGGAAAAGAAGAAAAATAGTCCAGCACCACTACAACGAAAACGGAGTAACAAGAACTAGAACCCTTCACCAAAGATGCCATTTCAAGCGAGCAACTCTGAACTCGTCAAAAGAAGTGCATGCACACAACCAAATTGTTCCCAAAAAAAATTGAAACTTTGTGCAGAAACAGCCGTCATCGAAAGAGCCCACTGCGCCACCATGCAAAAAATGTTCATTCCACCACTCTAGATAGAGCAGGCAGGTCGAAATTACCAGGGGACGAGAAGGAACTCGAAGCTCGAGCTGGGGAAGATGAAGCCCGAAACGGCCACGATGATGGCGGGATCGAACGGACGGACGGCGCTGCTCTGAGGAAGGAGTAGTGGGGTATGCGAGGACAGAAGGCGGAGCACATCGCCATGGCTATGGCTGTCGAAGATCAAACCGCGCGACTGCTCCGATGCACCGTCGCGTTCATGCACCGCGCGTCGAAGCAACTCTGTTCCTCGACTCTTTCCTGGGAGAGGGCTCGCACTCCAATGCTGACCTGTCGTGGTACCTGCTTCCGAGGATAAGACGTAGGACGATGATGCTGAGGAGGGAGCGACTCCTGTTTACCCGACAGCTTGTGCAGTGAATCTGGGTGCTCAGAAGTAAATTCCAAGAAGTTTATCTTCAGAAAGATCGAATATTGAAGGCGAAGAAAAGGTCAAAAAAAGAGAGAGAGTAGAATTATGTACTTGTTCTTTCAATTGTTGAATGAGCAAATTCACTTTTTCTTCGTCAATCTGAAAATGATACCATGTTCGATCCAACTGAACCGCAAGTTATCCGATTAAGAATTATTTAGATTAATTTGTCTTTCATTCTCAAATTAAGATCAAATTATCCCAACAATGGTGCATTATTGGCGTAGTCGATCGTTATGATATCTTTAAGCTTGTGGTGACTGGGAGATGCATTGAGCAACCGCAGCTACTAGGAAAAAATCAGCTTTCCTCTGAACAATTTGCTGCCCTTTAGTGTGGGTGGTCAGACTTTTTACTCGATGAGCCGATGATGATTTCTTGTTAGAAAGAACGTTAATCTATGAGGAAACACTCCAAGATTGTGCCGCAAAATTAAACAAGTAGAGCCAGTCATTACAATGATACACTCGGGGATGGAAAAACATCCAACCTCGTACAGGAACAGCAAGCCCACGGATCACTTGCTTACAGTGACATCCACGTTCGTTGTCGTCGAGTCGACTCAGCTTCGATCAACAGCCGAAACCAGCAAAACTGGAGAAAACTGATACCCATAAACGAAGAACGATTTATTATTATCTCCCAAAAAACATATCTCACAACATAAGAGTCAGTGACAGCCTATGGCACAGGACTTCTAACACTAAACGCAAGAACTGCGAAAAGACTAGATTACAGGGTTTACATGAAACATATAATATTCATGTCAGCTATGCACGTCAAAGTTTCTCACATCCCAAGTAAATTACTTGAACTATTCATCCTCCTCATCATCAACGAATTCCTCCTCTTCCTCTTCCTCTTCCTCATCCTCACTTTCTTCTTCTTGTTCTCCTTCAACATCCTCATCATCTGCAATGAACCCTCCCAGCGTTTCATCGTCTTCTTCATCCTCTGAACGAGGACTTCTCTTCTTCTGAGATGTTTGATCACTTCTTGTACTCTTGGGGGGTTTCACTTTCCTGTTGTCCTTGGATCTTGTCCAGTAAGATGGTTTTTTAGCCTTTCTCACAGTAGCCAAATCATCCTTCTCGTCTTCGCTCTCGCCAGTCCACTCATCATCATATCCATTATTGCCCTCAACCTGTCTCCTCTTTCTCCTACCTCTGCGCTTCGCTTTTGTCCCTTCATCTTCGTCCCCACTATCATCATCACTGCCTTTACTCAGGTCCTCGAGAAACCAATCCCAATGCTTTGCATTGCAAAGCATTTGCTTAGGATATTGATCAAACTCATGTCCAATCACGAGAAAACCAAACTCTGCATCCACCAAATAAGATACTGATCTTGACAAATGCATCATAGTAGCAACAAACAGCAAACTACCTGTCAAATGACTTCAAATCTGCCTCTAACATAAGGCAAATTTTTATATTACCACATTATCAAGCTGACAAAGGAGAAAGATTATCCCATTTCAGGAATATTTAACTCACAAAAAAGCAAAGCTTTTCCAAAGTAAAATTCATGGACAACCTCAGTCCCTTATCGATAATTACCTAGTTAATGAAAGAAAGAGCATGTCCAATTTACGCAACCAACTTATTCTGTTTAAAAGCAAATGTGTTGGTTATCCACATTGCGGAAATTTATTTCCACCAATTGTCTACCCAACAAAATTTTGTCCAAAACTCAAACTCACAAAATACTGCCGACCCTCTCTCAACGCAGTGGCATATTCAGACGAACAAGACTTCAATTCACATGTCCAAAAGTTCAAAAGAAATTAAATCAGTCATCCCGAACCATGTTCAATCATTTTGTAAACATTTCTGGATTACACCTGTTCTCCAAAAACAAAACTAAACACAGTCAACTATCGCGAGGAAGATACAAAATAACCTACCAACAGGGTCAATATTCAAGAAATCAAATTTTTCTCCTGATCTATTGACTAATTGCTCATTGCATAAATACCGAATCAGGCTAAACCAGCTCCATAGCAAGAAACAAGCTAAACTTCGCTCCAAAGAAACAAGCTTGAAATCCTAGACTTTAGCGGGGTCATTTATTACAGAAGGAGAAGCCGACTATCCGGTCATTCAAAATCGAACTCACAACAATGAAAGAAAGCGCCAACAGCTTTCACAAATTACAGACACGCAAGAGCTCGACAGAAAAGAAACTGCGTGCCTTACGTGCTTGGTCTCCATCAATTAAGCTCGACTAACCTCCTCTTTCAGCAATCAAAATGAGCAGAGACCAAATTTTGGAAAGTGAAAAGAAAGCTACACAACTAACCTTTCACAGGGTCAATACTCGACACATCAACAGATTCAGCACTCTCTGCCAATTCGCTCTCACATTCCGAATTCCTCTTGCTTCCACTTCCACCTCCGCCTCCATCTTCAATCTTCCTCGGATCAAACCAAACGGGCCTCCTCCCCGAGATACAGAACCGGTCGCCGGCTCCGAATCCGCCGCTCTCCGACCTCCGATACACCCGGACCCCTCCGCCGCTACCGCTCCGGACCCACACCGGGTTCTTCCCCAGGACCTGGAACGAAACCCTAGGCTCCGCCGTCCCGTCGTCGCCGGCTTGGAGGAGAAGGTGCTTGCGCGACACGCTTCGGTCGTCGGTGTCGAACCCTAGTCCTCGGCCGAAGATTGTCGCCGTTGAAGCTCTTTTGAGCATGACCTTCGAACCTTCTTCGCCTTCAATCTCCATGAGAGAGAGAGAGAGGAGAGAGAAGATTGAAGAAAGAAAACGCGCGAAGAGAATGAGCGAGCAAACGGTCAGCCAGTGAAGGGGGAGCGTGGCGCCGAAACATCAAAAACGGAGAGTCGTCTGCACGTTTCACCAATGATGGGGTGGAACGGGTTGTCGTTTTGACTGTTCATATCTGGGAAGTAAATTTTCGTTGGAAATCCTAATACTCGTCGTGGAAGTGAAATTAAGTCCTATAACTTTCAAAAATACAATTAAGTCCTAAAACTTATTACGAAAGTATAATTAAGTCCTAAAACTTTTAAAAAGTGCAATCGAGTCCTAAAACTTATCAAATTAATCTAATCAAATTCTTTCGTCGATTGCACTTTTGTGACAAAGTTTTAGGACTTGATTGCACTTTTTGAAAATTCTAAAACTCGATTGCACTTTTGTGACAATTTTTATGATTTGATTATACTTTTTGAAAATTTGAAGACTCAATCGCATTTTCACAACAAGTTTTAGGGCTGCCATTACACTTCTTCCATTGTAGGCCTCAAATTTCCGTTGTTTCCGTAATTTCCTCCTCCCAACTCTTTGGTCACAACAATCAAGACATCTATCTCGCATGAAGTTCCCAATGGAATCCTTCTGGTCCTAGCTCGATACTAGTTTTGACGGAAGAGATTGAACTCATAATTTTTACTGTCTAAAAGGATAGAATCAAAAGAAATTATCTCATTCGTATATTCGCTCTTCATCAGCTAGCTTGCTTTTAAGCCAATTCTGACGCAAATTGCACATTTACTATTGCGATACAACATAACTATCGTCAAGGTAATAGATATTCATTCCCAACAAAAAAAGAGTCGCTAAATGGAGAGCGACAGTGTGCAACGGACAGAATCGCCAAGCCAGTTGATTCCTGCGTAAGCTTGTGAGAGCAGAAGCTCTGCACTGCACAAGAGAGCGGAACTGGTTGACCTCGAGTGTGCACTGTTCCAACAATCCTTCCTCATTTGTCGCACCCAATTGTGAGTGAACCGCTCCAAGCCATCTCCGACTGGCATGTCTTTCCTCACACAAGCGGCAAGTCGCGTATCAAGCTCCGCTTAGCAACCCGTGCTTCCTAAGTTAAGTTTGAAGGCCAACTCGGGCACGGGCACTGATAAAGTCCGTGAGGCCTTTGACATCAACCCGGCAGCTTGAAATCCCCATCTGAACATACAATCAGTTAGCACCAAAATTTCATTCTCAAGATATAAAAATCGAGATCAATGTGATCTCAGTAGATATAGTCGAACCCTCTATTCTGTAAACCAAATCACATGCACATATCGTGCCAGATCCAAACCAAAATTAACTGCAGTTACCTCCAGGGTTGCACTGAAGTAAGCTGAACTGCTGACCGCTCTTCCAGAAAGCTGTTAAAAGGGGCGATTTCATACAGCAGAGCTGCATAGTTCCATTGCAAGTTGTTGCTTAAACTCTCTGTTCTTGTAGGAATTCTCATTGTCCAGGCTGGCATACCCATTTCTAGGGAGTTAATATCGTCGTCTCTGTCACATCATTTGAAAAAGATTCTCTTTCTCAGTGAAACACTTGAAGTTTAAGGTAGAAGCCTCCAGACCAAGCGTCTTCCCAATGAACCTAGTTCTTTGGACCAGCCCGACTTCGGACTCTCTTATATGTTATTATCTGTTTAGAAGCATGATGAGGAGCAGCTCTTTTATAACTAGACCTCGATTCATATGCTTCTTGCTCTGCACTCCCCTCTGCTTTAAGAGAGCCAGTTGGGGTGAAGGTGGAACTTTTCTCCACAACTTCAGTCCCGTCAGGGTTAGAATTTTTGTCAACTTCAATCCTGTGTTCTTCTCCAGGATAAGCAACAGTCTTTCTTGATTCCATCTGTTTTATCTAGTGAATTAAAAACACAGGACCAATAACAATTTACACAAAGTCTTGCCCCAGACAATGAAGAATGCAACTTTGTACTTACCAACTCATGCATACGATTCCTACTCTCAGCATCCTATAAAGAATTTTATGTTAGAATTATGAATTTTGCGAAAAAAGAAAATAATAATGAACTTCATTAGAGGTGGGCTTCACATACCCTTCTTTGGAGCTCATGTTTCAGTGCTGCAATCAATTTCAATAAGTACTTGTAAGCAGACTTGTGAGGTTCCTGTGTTGTTGAAACATTTATTAAGACAAGTATGTCATAGAACCGGAGCAATTCTAGCAGATCCATCACCTGGGAGTTGGGAGATAAGGGCAACCCTTCGACGTCAGGAACTTCTGAAAGCTGAACACACTGTGGGTTACCTGCTTCATCTGCCAAAAACACACTCCAAGAAGGGGGATTATCAATCCCGACTGCCCCAAAATCAACTTCAGAATTCGTCCCAGCCATACAATGCAAGTGATCCATTGCAATGGAATCACCCAAAGCGTCCAGACTCTAATATCAACAGAAAAAATGAAACTAAATTTTAGCGCAACCAGTTAATCTATCTTCTAAGGGCTCATGAGATCACAAAACTAAGAAATTAGAGCATATATGGTAAATGACATAGCATGCACCATTTAGGCATTAGCATACAAGATAAGCTCGTTTATGTTCTTATTTGACAAACTCCATACACTAGACATTTATAAGAACTAAATATCAGACCTTTCCGTCTATAGAAGATAGTTGGCAACACCAAGAATCGCTGCCATATCTAGAGTCAAATATTTGTTAAAAAATGGAGATTTGCTTGTTTCCCCTAAAAGCTACTAACTTACCATGGATGTCGAGACTTCTTCTTCATATAAATCCACCTCATCTTCATTGTTTCTGACAATGTAATGGCATGCCTGCACAATGGATTCCACCATATGGATTAGACACAACTACCTGATGAAAGACATAAGATATTTTAAAGAGGCTATTGCCTAGGTGGCATCTTCCTTTCTTCCAAAAGTAAGGGTCTACTCTAGAGTACAAACCTCAAACCTAAGGTGGTTTGAATTAAAAACAGGAGATACTGAAAGAATTCACACTATTAGAGTAACAGGCTTATGGATAGCCTATCTCCAAAAGAGAAATAACTCATCAAAACTTGGGCCTGGACAATATTCGTAATATGCCGACATTTGCATCACCAAAAAAATAAATCCCCACATTCATAACTTTTCTGCTAACTATCCTAGAATGCAAAAATCTATATTTGATTCCTGATAAAGTAATATGCATAATTTCACAGGTTCAGACCGTAGCATCTATACCTTTGGTCTATCTACAGCTCTGAATGAGCAGAACACAGGAGTAAAACTGGGTGGCTCCAAGATAGCATATGCTCCTTCATTTATTCCCATCTCTTCAGGAAACTGCACGACAAAAACAGTGGCAGAACCAGTTTAGATATACTAGTCTGATTGCTCATGCTACAAGTGTGCCAAATGAAAGAAAATACATGAAATATTCGCTTTAAATAAAAAAGGAGAAAACAAAGTTAAAAATTTTGTGCCAATTTGGGAAAAATCAATGCCAATGGATGGATCATTGAACCGTTTATTCAAAACAAAAACTGAAGCCTCAGGAGCAGAGATCATAGATGCCAGTATTGTGATTATTAAGCTCCCTAGCAACCAACATCCAATGGGAAAAAGAAGAAAATATCAAAGTGGAAAAAAAAAATACACGGAGGAGGTGTGGCCAGTGGAAGTGGAAGAGCATTTGCAGAAGAGTGGCACAGACATTATGGTATTAACTAACATGGATGTTTCTTTTCAATTATTAAATATTCTCTTAACTATCTTGACTCTTCTGGATGGCGACCGAAAGATAGACAAAATATGGAATGACATGAGAAATTTCATCAACAATAACTGCCTCAAACTTTCTTAACAAATGGTAAAGATGCACAGCAGATATCCATATTCAACTTATCAAATAGGAGCTGAGAGTAGCTATGATTCTGAGAAAATCAACGAATATTAAATAAAAGTTTCTGCCATTTTACATGTGCTGACGTTCCTGTTTCCAATTCTTCCCTGACTCCTTTTATCAAAAAACAATCAAACAGGAAACCTTGGAATTTATCTTATGAATTCAATGACACTTGGTGGCATAAATAAAGCTTGTGCGGTGCAATATGAAACTCAGCTTCAAGACAGTTATCAAAAAGAAGGCTCAATATCAAGGACCAAGGAAAGATCCAAATAAAGCCATAATTACATGTTATCAAAACCAGTTACTGTTAGCAACTCGAAGTAAAAAGCAAGGAACCAAAAATGAGGACCTGCGTATATTCTGGAGCACTGAACAGAGTAAATAGCTTCCCTGATAGTCCACTGTGATCCTCACTGTATCCTTTGGACAGTGCTTCTAAAACTTTTCGACAAGCCCTTTTTCCAGGCCCTTCGTGTGATCTAATAATGAACTGCAGCAAGATAGCCCTTAATAATCACTCAGCTCTCATAACGCACACACAAAGAGTAAAAGCCTGAGACTCAAACATGACCAAAATCATAATCGAATGAAGACCAAAACTAAAATTCAGCGAGGCAAGTGTATAATGCCGGTTAACTTTCTAGTTTATATTTTTGAATCACAGTTCATACCATTTCTTTAATCATCACTTCATGCTCATATTCAAAAGAAAACCATAGACTGAGCATGTAGGGTATTGAATTTGTCCAATGCCCATCACTTACCAGCAAGAACAAATGTACATAGGCTAAGCTACACCATTAAAAACATCTGCATAAATGACATAACTAGAACTATTCACATTACCTTCAACTTAGACTGGCTCAGAAAAGTCTCTGTGCAATCAGGGCCCCACCATAGACCTGCTTGGCGTACTCTTTTTTCCCTAAGACCTTCAACAGATGATGGGTCTGAGCAGAGCACGTCGTTCAAGATTAGAGAGCCTCCATGGATATGATCATCATCTAGAGTGTCTATAGTGTATCTATTAACTCTAGAAAGTTCATCCAAAGAACCAACCGTCATCAATCCTTTGATCGACTTGGAAGAAAGAACTCGTGTGCTTCGGAATAGCCCTCCATGGGTAGTATATACACTATTGCTTATTATCGAGGCCAAGGGAAGGTTTTTGAAACATCCCAAAAACTTCTTATAGACATAGTCACCTTGATCACCATATTTGGTCAGCACCTCGTCCTTAAAGCCACAGGATGATGAGAAAGACTTTGTTTCATGATTGCCACGGAGCAGACAGACTCTACTAGGCATTACTATCTACACACCAAATATTAGATGTAAATAATCATAGTCAACCAACATAGAAAAGAGCACGTACGTATCTGTTCAAGTACTAAATTTGAGAGAGTGGGAGGGGGTGGGGGGGAGTGTGGCATAATGACAAATAGGTATAGACAGAGGAAGAGGATGCCAAATGGGAAAGGACCCAAATCAGAAACCAAGGTATTGGAAGGTGTCGAAGCCTACATTAATGCCAGTAAACATGTATATGAAGACATGACACTCTCTCCGACACCAATCTTCATTCTTTCCAGGTTGTATTTTGTAGGGTCTATGGAGACAAAATTGCTCCTTTCTCAGAGTATGCTCCTGCAGAAGTATCTACTCGTTACAGACAAAGGAAAAGATGGCTTACCTTCCAGGCCAACAACACGAGAAGTACTTCCAAACCCCATGGCTCTTTACCGACATAATTACCGTTGAAAACAAAGAATAGTTTCTCCGAAGGCAGACCGACATGGTCATACATGAGAGACAATAAGTCGTGGTACTGTCCCTCAATATCACCAATTACAACCACTCTTGAATCCTCTACAGAGCAATTAATAATCACGCAGTTTGGTTCTTGACTTAGAATGTTGTCGGCTGAATCGATCAATTTGTCGACCACACCGACAGGCATAACAAATTGAAAGTCTGAGGGGACACCTTCCCATGAAGATCTCTTTAGTGCTAACATCAAATCTTCAACCCAATCCAAAGTTACTTCATCATTTTGAGGCCAAGATATCGAGGCACAAGACATTGACTGTGATAGAAGTTCCACATTATCATTTTGTTCTACCAATTCTCCACCCATAAAATACTCCTCATTCTTCACTGCGATCCCCATTAGTTCGTCCACGAACACCTGTCCTTCCATATTCAGAATGTGAACATCCTCATGGTTCGTTTGCATTGCACAGTCCATCATGCTCTCACTGATCCCCGCATCATCAGTCTCGTTAAACTGTTAAATATGCCCGTTAGAAAATAATCTAAACTCAAAATCACTATGTGTGAGAGTAGGCTATTCTATTTTTTCGGCCTTACTCTTTCAGCAAATTCATAATGCCAAGCACTGCCAGCGTCCACTTTTCTATCAGCAATGGCACCAGCGATGTCCTTAATCCTCGACATCAACTGAACTCTATGATCATCTAAGCCCTCGTGCGACATCCTACTTATGATATCTAGAGTTTCCTTGCATGTGACCACCTGCACCATATCGTTCTCCGAGTCAGCATGCATTAACACACAAACCTTAAGAGTTCGCTAACATAGCGCAATTTCGACCTACAATATCGTCAATAGTAGAGCGCAACGCCCTAGCCACATCAATCTTCGAAACCTGCCAGGCCAAAATTAGCATGTAAGTCAATGAAAGTCTAGGCAACGGAAAAGAGACCGTTTCATAAGTCGGGCAAAATTCCGTTTTCCACCCACCCCCTGGAATTGACCGCCGACGACCTGTCGCGCGATTTCTCTCATCGTCACCAGCTTGTGCACTTGCTCCTCGCTCAAATTCGCAAAGGACATCAAGCTGATGATCTCCAGAATCTCCCGGCATCCCCGAACTTGCTCGTCCCGCGGCTCCATCGTGACCGGCCCGACCTACAATCCCCCCACAGAACTTCATGAACACAAAAAACGTCCAGCTACGGATTCAGCTACGGAAATCGAGAGAATCCTCGGCTGTTTCGATCACAGACTAGATCGACACGGCGGCCTCTGAACAGAAACTAGACAGCACGGGCCACGGCGATCGACTCAAAGCATGCTGCTCGCTGATGAATTCCAGAAATCACAAACGATGACGGCGCGATTGACGAGAGGGATCGGGCGAGCGTGCGAAGCCGAAGCGTACCTGGAAGCACTGTCCCTGAGGGAACGGTAGAGGGAAGCGAAGCGAAGGGGGGAGTTTCAAAAAAACTGGTGCAACGGGGCGCGAGGAGACCCTGCAAAGCGAGGTGTCGTTTGATGGAGAGAGCGGGGGGGGCAAACGACTCGCCGACGCCGCGGACGGGATTGAGTTTTTAGTTAGGGCAAACCACGAAACGACATCCGGGTTTTTATCTCATCTCGTCCGGTGCGTGCTCTGTATGATCTTGTCAAATTTACGGAAAGGGTGGATTACATTTTACCAAAAGTTTCTAGGGATTGTGGTATCTCGCCCACCCTAACATTTCAATTTTTGCAATTTGACATCCCGATTTTATTAAATTTATGGTAGTGCATCTCCTAACGTTGACTCTAGCCAAATTTTTCTCGCATGTTTGAACATCTAACTAGTTATGGAAGACAAACAGATCATATATATATAACATAGAGAGTGCTGAAACATATGTCATTATTCCATATCAATGTGTATTTGATGTTAACTTAGGGTCAAATTATTGTCGGCACTTTAATCACATACTCTCACGTGTGATATATATTTGAATTTTTTTGCTACTTTTTTGTATGTATATAATTATATGATGAATTTTCCCTCAATAATCAGGCATGTATTATTGCGCATGATAGCCATTTCAAACAAAATTTGGCTACCAAACGCATCTTTAAAGTATTAAGTATTGAGAGGGATAAATACAATCGAAGTTGTAATCTCAAGTGTAGTAACCTGTCGTAAATATAATAATACGTGAGCGAAAATATGATTGTTATCTGGAATTATGTTTTGGAAATGAAGCGAAATTGATCAAGTATAGAAAATATCTCTTTTCAATATAATTTTTTTTATGTGAGGTAACTACGTATCCAAAATTGTTCGAACGAAAGGGAAGGAGATCGATAAAATCGGAAAGGAAAAAAAGGACGTCATAACGCGATATTTTATTTGTTTAAGAGAGCTTGATTTTTCCAATTATTGCAATAACTATGCCTTCACGTGATTGTAGTTTAATTTAGATATCTAATGTGAAAATCACACGTTAATCAACTTCTGATTTTGCACATTATAATTGAAGAACTGACGCCCCGGACCCTCGTAATTCGGATTCGGGTCGGGTTCCAGCTCCGACCCACACGCCTTCGCCTCCTTCATCGGCTCGACCCTTTCTAGGGTTTTAGCAGAATCTCTGCAACTCCAATCGGAGCTTAAACAAGAATGGCGACCAAATCACTGATCCGAAACGGAGCTTCGCTGGCGAACCGGCTCCTGACGAATCCTCTCCTTCGCCGGAACCCTAGCCCGACCCAGCGCGTCGTTTCTCCGAGCTTCGAGATCGCGCCGAGCCTGTTCCCTTCCGTCCCCAAATCCGACGCCTCTCTCCATCTGTACCAGAGCGATGTCGATTCGCTCGATCGAGTCCCTTCTCACCGTTTCCTTCATCCTTTCGGCCTCCCGTCTCTTAGCTTCTTCCTACCGGACGGTACTCTCTCTCTCTCTCCGTGATTGGTATTTGATCTTTTGTTACTTGTTGATAGCTACTGCGCTATTGCCTTGTCGATAGATATTTCGCTTCCATGTGTAGTAGGACCATGGAATTTGCATGGCAGGTGTTTGTTTCGAGTTACTGGGATTACCGAAAATTTGGTTTTTTTTTTTCTTTCTAAAATGTGGTTTCTGGTGAACTTGACAGTTTTAAATTTGATGAAATGAACTGTTAACGACTATCTTAAGCACTCGAATGCATCGTCCTCCCTGTGACGTTAGTGGGGTTGGCATGATAGTTCATTTTTAGCTTAATATTTGACCGGCAAGCTTTCTGAGATACAGAGTACTCCCTGCTTCTTCAAGGCTTAGCTTTGTTTTCTTTTTAACATGACAGTGTTTCTTCTATTTGTGATGGTATAGATTGTCCTGTTTTCGCAGTCACTTTTACTATATTCAGATTAAGATTGGATAATGTTTGTGGCATCGGGCTTTGTGTAAGAGGTGACTTAATCATCAATAATCTGCGGATACCCTGTTGGATTTGGTTGACAACCCACATCTCTCTCGCTCTCTCTCTTCTCTCATATGCTTGCTTGTCCAATACTCTTCTACATTCTCTTAGTGTTTGCAAGGTTCGTGTTCGTGTGCAGGTGATATGAACTCATCGAGTGATCCAATGCTCTTATCCACAAAGCGGACATACCAGCCCAGTACCATTAGGCGTAAGAGGACACACGGATTCTTTGCTCGGTATGGCTTGCTTCCTTCTTCTTCTTCTCTTCCAGTATGCGTGGTTGTATGTGAGCTTGCCCGTCAATGTGAGTTGTTTGAATCTGGTGACTGTGCCTGAGGAAAGAAAAATAATGGACTAAGATAAGACTGTTAGTTTGGAACTAGATGGAGAAATCAGTCTTAACTGGTGAATGACTCAGCTACTGTCTCGGGGAGGGTTATATACTGATCATACTGTGATTGCTATAGCAAATTGATGGAAGGCTTCGTTCACAATAGCTTTCTGCCTGTTACTGTTTCTCTCACTTTCGTAGCATTGTCTGTCCTGCTTTTCAACAATATATGTTCCGTATGGACGAGCTAATTGTTGGTATGGAATTGATATTATTTGAAAATTTATCTTATGAATTGTAACACTCTGGTACATAAACAGAAAGTCAACCAAGGGTGGTCGGAGAGTCATTGCTCGAAGAATAGCAAAGGGCAGGTCAAGAATTACAGCTTAGTATCTATGTGGCCTGGTTGCTATCAGTATCATTGTACACATGTACCTTCCATGACGATGAGCCAATTTTTAGTTAGAAGAGTCCGCTCAAGGATAGCTCAGCATGCTACTAAGGTCCCATGTGGAATGTGAACTCATTTCTCACATGACAGCAATTTTTTTTGTTGAAGTCTTCTTCCTTCTCTGTCATGCTCCTTGGAATAATCCTTTAAGAATTTCTAGTTGCTTCAACCATGTGTCTGTGTCATCACAGTTTGCATCCTATTTTGGCTCTTCTGGAAATTATGCAGCAATGACTTAATTTATCATCAAATTTTAAATGCCCGGGATATCTAATCTTCAGGGTGAGCTTTCGAGGGGAGCTCTGAATAATGTTTGGCTCTATGTCAGTGATTCACCTACTTTGCTTTTACTTAATTCTCATCGAGTTTTCCATGGTTTAAATTGTGGTATTACTGATGCTTTCCAAAGTGACTTCTAAAAGAAGAGTGGATCTGGTGATTACTTTGTCTGATCATACATAGCTTGATAAATTGAATTTCCAAGGTTGACTTGAACTTGTTGATGCCAGTCTTCTTTTCCTTTTTGCACATTGTAAAGCTTTTGCGTGCAGGCATGATCTAAACTGCATCATTTTCTTCCCCAAAACCTCTCAATGTCATTGAGGCTAATGTTCATCACATGACGAAGACATTTATAAAAGAAAATAAGAAGTATGATCCTTGATCCCCTAGTTGCCTCGACAGTCGGTCCTCTGAGTTCCAACTTCTGTCATCTAAGAGAATATCATTTAAATTCATTTTATCAGATCAAGCAAACCACTGTTTCAAGAAACAGCCACATTAAGATGGTCTCATAAATTGCACCGTGGTATGACTAGCATCCTGTGCTATATGAGAAATCAACAGATGTGGCTTCGCAGCTCCCTCCTTTGCAGATGGCACAGAAAGTCGCCATGAAGATTTCAATGCCAGGTTACATTTGCTCGAAAACCCGATCAAGGGTGAGCATCGGCAAGCCCCAATATCATGAACAGATAAGCACATGCTCGGGCTGGAGCAGGTGAAGTCTGGTTTTGCACCTAAGAAATATCATTGTCGAACCCGGCCATGGCAAAGTGTTAATTATTAGGGATGATTGGTTCTAGGGTGAGTCATTTTCCACCCTAGAATTGGATCGGGTAGGGTTGGTTTCCAATTTGTGGAATTGGGAACCGGTCCACCTGCTCCTGGGTTCAGACCGACTGGTCCTATCTGGTTCCCAATAATTCCGTTTTTGGTTTTTTGTTTTTTGTTTCTTCTAGTCCCTACATCTTGAACTCCAAAAGTTTGGCGTTGCCTTTGCTCGCGTTTGGTGATGTTGCTTCTACCATCTATTAGAGCAATTGTACCTGCATTATGTTACGATGAATTCAAAAGGTTTCATCTTTCATTTTGTTCTTTTCTGCATCAGTATTTGTTTGTCCTTCCATATATGTCTTCTCGGTTAAAGAGTTATAAGTAGGAGTTTCCCAATATTAAAAGAAAAAAAGGAACATTATTTTCGGTTTTTCGTTAAATAAATGTTTAAATGATCGGGTTGCGGCGTTAATTGATGATCGACTAGTCTTCCATTGGATTTTGTAGTCATTATTCTATTACATGGCATCATATCAACATATGCTAAACAATAAAAACTACATATATATATATATATATGAAAAAAAAATTTGTAATTATATTACTCTATTTGTGCTGAGAGTCGGAATGAAACGCAACCCAAGCATATTTACTCTTTAAGAGAAAAAGAATATAAAAAAAAAACATATCGGTCCGATCCAAGTGGTTCATGCACCTAGAATCGGGAACTGCCGGTTCCAATCCAAATTTTGGGAATTGGAAACCACCCAGAACCGGTTGGTTTGGTTTTCCCAGGTTGGAATGAACTGATACTCACCCCTCTTAATTACCGTTATCTTCTTCCTCTCTTTTTGGTGAAAATCTGAATTGTAACCACAAGAGGTTATTATTCATTCTTGTCATTTGTTAATGATTATAGGCTTAGTTTGTTTTGTGAAAAATATTTTTGGCATTTTGAAGTGTTTGGATCGCTTAGGAAAATGAGTCAACGGAAAACTTATGCTTTAATTGAAGAAAATGATTTCCACTTTCAAAAATCAAAAATCATTTTCCATATATGACGATATTTACTCTTAGACTCGAAACTTTGCGCTTCAACACAAAAAGCCAATGCTCATTTTTGGTTACTTCGTAGCAGATCCAAGTCTAGAGGCTGAGGCCAGGCCACCGGAGTCCATCGAGGCCAAGCTCGAATCCAAAGAGGCTGAGCCTGAACCCCAGTGCCCAAACCCCGGTCGACAAAGGTGGGGCTCAAGACATTGGTACCCATGTTCGGGACCTGGGCACCCATGGCTAGGTTCTCAACACTTGAGCCCTGGTCCACAGAGGCGGAGCCTAGGAATTTGGTATCGTTACTTGGCTTCCTAGCGGCCTAGCCTGAGTCCACGAAAGCCGAGCCTAAGACCTTTGTGCCTGTGGCTTGTTCCCGGCGCCCGCGCCTTGATCCATGGAGGCTGGGCCCGGGATGCTAGTGCCCGTATCTGAATATCCCGCACTCAAGCCTGGGTCCATCGAGGTCGAGGCCCGGGACCTCGATGCATGTGCCTAAGTCCCTAGTGCCTGGGCCAGGTCTTTTAGACTGGGCCTGAGATCCTGGTGCTTGTGCTCGGGTCCCTAACACCTGAGCTCAAGACTCCAGTGCTCATACCCAGATCCCCTGTGCCCAAGCTCAGGTCCATCGAGGCTAGGCCTCGGTCCATCGAGACTAAGCTTGAGACCCCAGTGCCCGAGCTCAGATCCCTAACACCTGAGGTCGAGACCTTAGTGCCCGTGCCAAGATCCCCTGGGGCCCGAGCTCGGGTCCATTGAGGCCAAGCCAAGGACCAAGTCCTCTGCAGTTGAGCTTGAGTCCATCAAGTTCAAGCCAAGGACCTCGGTGTCCGTGTCCGAGTACCCATGCCGGGGTCGGACACTAACACCGGGGTCTAGGTCCCTGGTGCTTGGTTTCTCGGCTATGTACAAGTCAGTCGCGCCTAATAGTGTATGTCTATTTTGGAAAATTAAATTAGATTTTCCTTATCAAACAACAGAAAATATTTTCCGGTTGTTTTTAGATTCAGCCAAATACCGAAAAATATTTCCATTTTCCTGTAAAAAGACTTTATAGAAAATATTCTTCAGAAGATGTTTATGCGAAACAAACTGAGCCCAAATACTAGTTATATTGTTGCGAATGTTTTTGCTCCGAGCTGCTCGTCTCTGAGTTTAGCAGTGACAGTTGCATCTGCATTTTCCGAGATTTCTAAAACATATAATCCTCCAAGCGTAAGAATCATCGTTCCTTACGTTCACCTATGTCTTAAATCTTAACATACTTCTCTTGCATTTCAGTTGGACGCCTTGTCCGAACAAAAGGTATACCGCGTGCCAATCATGTCACATGACAGTGAAAAAAAACCAATTAAAATTTGAGAGATATAAGACAAGAATGCATATCACACAGGTAACATAATATATCGGGCACACCCGTGCGACGGACGCACATGAAATACTCTTCGGCATTGCATGGTGATCACTGATCAGTAACATTCAGGACCAGGGTTTGTTTCTCCCTTCAAAAAAAAGTCGAGGGTGATGTGACCTACACCGGTCAAGGTCAAGAACCTCCTTGAACTCCTCCGTTCCATTGTTATGTGGTTCCTTCTGTCCGCCAGCATCCTTGCCTGTCCAGTTCACTTGGTTAAATTTTCCCACAATTCAATTCCATCACCTCTTCTTTTTGTTTTTTGCCCTTAAAAGGACCCCGATGGAATTAGGGACTACTAACGCACAACTACTTTTACTTTCTGTCATCCTCTTACAGAAGGGAACTAAGAGTGCAATCTCACAGGTTCATGGGTCGGTAAGGCCTTCGCGACTCGCGACCGACTCTAACCCCCAAACGCAAGGCGCTGATCGAGAGAAGCGGGTACGAGGAGCCGAACCATGTGCCTCTCGGTTGTCGAAAACCAAAGCGCAATGCACAGAGACTGTCGAGCTGAAACTGAAGAGGAAACCCGGACATCATGAATTTTTTTTGCAACTTCTAATTATAGAAAGAAGAAAGGCATCAGCACCCGATATTTTCTGGTACTCAGTCTTAAGTGTATGCAGATAGAATCATAAGGATTCGCGGGAATTACGTCATGTTAGGACGCCACTCACTCAAAATTCACTAAAGGACATTGCTCGCTCAAAAGTCAACTCTCTACACGAAGTGAATGCTTCCCCTTCAGATATAAGCGTACTGTCCTCTCTCTCTCTTTCAGGGTCTCCTCCCCCACTTCGACGTACTATGTGCTTACTCCTATACATAAGATCACAGACTGACCTACAATTGACTTAAAATGTGGTATGCCATGTTATAAGTGAGCACTTAATTAATGGAAAATCAGAATATACATGAAGAAAACTTTGCACAAACGCTCTCATCCATCCCTAATTTGAAGCAAGGTGAGAAGGTGGATAATTAAAAATCATTAGATCAATTATTAATAACATTGATTGTGTGAAACTTGTTTCCCGTTGCCATTGTATGCTAGAATTACTGTTTAAGAATCTGCCGGACAAAGTTTACTGATCGTTTTATGAACCGGTCTTGCCGAGAAACTACTGACATATTCCAATAACAAATCAGTTCTAGTAAATATACATAGCACTAGAATCGCTCATGGCAGAAAACAATTGTCCAAAAGAGAGAGAGAGAGAGAGAGAGAGAGAGAGAGAGAGAGAGAGAGAGAGAGAGAGAGAGAGAGAGAGAGAGAGAGAGAGAATGGTGTACATATATGTGGGAAAACACTTGACAGGAGTCACAGGTTTGTGATATACAGAAATGTAGTAGCTTATAATAAGGTGAATAAGCATGTGCAAGAACTTACAACACATCTTTATGAATCTGCAGTGACCATTTATCTCTCTCCAAAGCATGCATCGACATGGATGCCAAATCATAGGTGTCCCAGATCCAGTATTTATCATGCTCTTTACCTTATTCAGAATATGTCTTTGAGAAGAAATAAATGCATTATTTTGCATTTAACGACTGTCGTCCATGAACACCACCCACCCCCACATGATCAATTTCTATTTGGAGTCCAAGGTTGTCTGCTGATCCCAGGTGGATGTGAGGCTAGGGTTCATACCAAATGGGCCACTTGATGATAAATCTGCTACTAGAGAAGATGAAGAAGATGACGACATCACCGATGCATCAATGGCATTGTTGCACTCCATTTGATTGATGACAGTAGGAATGTACGGGGGATAAATTTCTTGACACGACGATGGAGACACTGTTGGAAGAAGAAGGCATGATGATGCTGAGAATTTGGCGCCCAGTGGGTCTAATAACATTTCTTGTGAAGAAGAGGAAGAGGAAGTCGTAACCGGTATATTGCAGAAACCACCGTCGATGATCTCATAGAGCTTTGGCATCGCCAGTACCATCGGTGAGTATTCACCATAAGGTTGGAGAATCTCACCAGGATCCACGAACTTATTATCTCCGTTGTCAGCGTAGTGTTCAGCGCCTTCGCTTGGGAAAGGTCGATCTTCTTGATTCGGATCAATGATTTGATGAAGCGGGTGTCCGAAAGACAAACCTTGATCATACAAAGAAACTAAGCTGTTGCCTGACAAATGGGAGATCTGATGTGGGTAATGGACCAAATGATCAAAACCGAAATTGGGCACTTCTTGTTGTTGTGGCGGATCGAATTCAAAGTTGCCTTGACAAAGATTTTGCATCACATGAGGTAGGGTTGAAGCAGTAGTACTATTAGGTGTAGGGAAATAAACCTGGTCCTGTACTGGAGATGCTAAGATCAGGCTAGGGTTTGAAAGGAGAGAGAAAAACCCTTCTTGATCAGCAGCATAAGGATTGTGGATCACATGATGGTGGTGGTGATGGTGATGATCATGAGACATGAGCTTCTTCTTGATGCTTGAATTCCAAAAGTTCTTCACTTCATTATCTGTTCTTCCAGGGAGGTGCTTGGCTATTTGAGCCCATCTGTGTAAACACAAAATTTATTGAACACAAAAAACAATGGCAGGAAAAAAAACATAGTATTATATACTTATAAAAAAATATCAGTCCGACCATATATTCTAATTTATCTAAAGTTGAATTTTATCTTATAAAACCCGGATAAAATAGTAGTAGAATTTTCCATAAAGTGTTCATTTATATGAATGAACCTGTTGCCCAAAATGCTGTGGAGTTCAATGATGAGAGCTGCTTCCTGCTGAGAGAAGCTGCCACGCTTCAAGTCAGGTCTGAGATAGTTTATCCATCTCAGTCTACAGCTCTTTCCACATCTCTGAAGGCCTATAATTCAAAGCAAGAGAAAAATTATATAGTGAAACAAATGATGAGTTTATGGTAATTAAAGACCATAGGACCAAAAAAGGGCAAAAGGAATACCAATCAAGATGGTGAATTCAAAGAATGTGCGTGTATGAATTAGTTCAAAAACTTCATGAAATTCTAGAGTTAGCAACATATTTTCAAGAAGTAATGCTGATCCATGCATAAGAATGTGAAGGTATATATACGATCAAAACCTGCATGCTTAGGAACGGAGCTCCAGCATCCATGGCCATAAGTGGAGATGTAGTTTATGAGCTTCTCGTCTTCTTCAGGTGACCACAACCCCCTCTTAACCTTCTGCTTGTTGCAGCATGAATGGTGTCCCATGTCTCTCTCTCTCTCTCTCTCTCTCTCTCTCTTCTGTGAGAGCAAGCCGATGGCCACAAGAGAGAAGTAATTGGGGTACTTGGTATTTAAGAAAAAGTGAAGAGGAAGAGAGATGACTTCATCAGCTGGGATCTCTGTAGCCCTAGAACCAACAGGTTAAAAGTCATGATTCTTCAAGAAAGCGGCAGACAAAAAAGAAAAAAAAAAGGAGTGAGATACTCGCTAGAGAGAGAGACAGAGAGAGACTTGTTATTATGAATTTAATATCGTGTTGCAGTACAATATGGCCGATGGTGGCCCAAGATTTGGAGACATTGTTGGAGGGAGGGAGTGAAAAAAAAGAAAAGGTGAACTTACCCGAGAAAGTATTGGGTGCTGCAGAAGGAGTGCCACGTAAGGATGGCTCCACTACACGCGTCAAGCATTCATGCAATTCAGTCCTAATAGACACACACAAGAGCCAAGACACTTTTTTTTTTTTTGGTAACCAAGGATCCGCTACCATTCCCCGGGGACGAGCCCGCACGGGTAATCGGGGTGCCTATACCTCGGGGGAGACTAGCCCAGCAACCCACCGCTAGGGCCCCCCACTTATAAAACGGAACTGAGCGGGGATTCGAACCCAGAACCTCTAGAAGGGAAGGAAAGCGCCCACCAACATAGCCGAGACACTTTTATTTACATAAACATCAAAATCAAGGTGTGATCGACCTTTGAGAATGCCCCTCCATTCAACCGTGAATTGAGCCGGAGCTAGGGTTAGAAATATGGTGCAAACAAGCACCTCTGGCGGAATGCACGCATGTGATCATCGCTAACTTTGCCTCTTTTCCCTATAGGGTGATATTTGGAGTTTACTCGAAGAATTGGAAATACTTCAAATAGGCTATTTCAAATTTACACATCGGAAAGTCATTCAAAACACAAAGTTCAAAAAATCGATAGATATAACATAATTTAGCGATGATTCGTAAAGAGACCCTTATGGTGTATCGATGTAGGGAAGAATCATCGGAAGAAGGACTTTGTAATTTGTCTCTTTAAGTCTTGCTCCGGACTGACATATAGTTATTATTTATGTTAACATGAATGGTTGGTTGTGATTCAAAGACAGGAATGTCTAAAAGTATCATCTTCCTCAAGTCCCGGCGATGATGCTTCCACAACATTACTAATCAAGCAGGTGCAATATTTCAAGATCTACTTTCTTAGAGCTTCCGTTATACTTGGACCTCTCTTAACTTTTAATGACACAACCCCCTGGTGAAAATCATGATTTCCGTTCGAGCAAAATTAAGAAAATTTTTGCCCTTGTTGGAATTGGTTTTGCAGGGAAAAAGAGTGTAATTATTCAATTATTCGAAATTTTGTGATTTCAATATTGTGTCATGGTTCACCAAACGATACTTAAAAGGATTTAACCGCACTTCTTTAATTAGCTAAGGGACTTAGCGAAACAGCTAAAAAAAACACATTATCGTTCCTTGAAATTTCATTATCACAAAACTAATATTATCTTAGACAAAAAAAAAAACTAATACTAATATTATCAATCTTATTCTTTGTGCATGAATTTCTTGCATATGATTATGTGATAATTAAGTTAGGGTGATAAAGTTAATGGTTCTTTCATTCTTGTACTTTTACACATCAATTTTTCTCTTTGAATCATGCATTCCTTTTGGATTGATGAGAAGATATTTAGGAGAGGTTTCCCTATTTTTTTCGTTTGTATTATGCACTGGTTTTGTTGGATGACATATCATTTAGGAGAAATTGGATCATAGTCGATAAGGGGGGTCGAGTTTATAGTAATTAATAGGAACAATTTATGCAGTGAAAATAAATGTAATCTCTATGGAAAATCACCATGTGATCTTCTAACATCTTTGCTTGTTTAAATGCCCAGAACATCTTGAAAGTCATCATATTCTTGGTAAAGTTTCTTCAAATCAACTTGACTTTTCTTTATGTCCTTTCACCCACTTTCAACAAAAAGGAGCTTACACTTGCAATACACGGCCATGTCAAATCCACATCAACATCACATCCGGTGCTTACAAACCCTTGTGATGGAATTTGAATACGATGATGGAGCAAATTGCTTCATGCACATTAAAGTTCTGTCGTGATTAATCACCATCGATCGCAAGGAGGTGAAACGTGCGGTCCATGCAATTGCTAAATCAAGACCTTCTGCTTAAGCAGGAAAATGGAAGGACAGGAGAAGTGAGGAAATGAAGGTCCAAGATGTTCATAATTCCATTCATAAATGTCCGCAAGCTAAAGAGAAAAAAACAGAATTAAAGGAAAGATCCATTCCATGAATGTGTTTCTGTTTCTGGATGCTCGCTCTTTATTGCGTGTTCTCCCAAAATCTAGAATTGATGTTGATGAGGACCATCATGGAGACGACAGCAGTGACAAGGATATGATTAGGGTTTGACTGAACCCAAAGGGAACAGGATCAATGTGAATTCCAAACTTAAAAAAATGTCCTAATTTTGCACCACCATGGCTAAAGCTTCTGGATAGTGTGTGTATTGGTAATCAAAATCCAATCTTGCAACGGTAGAAGAAGATACATGATGTCAGAATCAGATACATGACTTTCAAAGTTCACAATCTGGATAATCACCATCAGGGGTTGTGCCATTTTCATGCACAGAATGCTGCTTCCCTTTTTCTCCTGGAAAGTCCACAAGTTTCTTGTAGCCTATTCCAGAAGTGGAGTAACCTGTTAGCAAACTCCTCTGTGTCTAGATCCAAAGATTGGTTCGGGTGGAGAAACCATTGAGAAGCTATGCGGATCATGAAAAGACAACTTCTTGTGAGTTCCTCGGACCGACTATCAAGGACATTTGTTAAGTAATAAACATGAGGATACTGCGATTGTCTTGTAAGGTGTCTAATAAGTGCTTTAGAAATTTTAAATTATCTTATTAAATGCTCTTAACAATTATATCACAACCTTCAATCAAATTACGACAGTTTCTTTCTTTTTCTTATTCTTCTTTTTACTCTGAGGTCTGATTAAATTGGGGGGTTAGTTGGGAATAATCATGACTCCATCCCTATTAATTACAAGACCCTCCTCCTTGAAATTCCTAGGCCTTTTCCAAGAATTGGGAAGCTAAGCTTTATAGGGTAAGATTGCGTGATTAGGAAATGCTGCTTTCATTATCATGGACGCAAGCCATTCGATTACAGAGAGATATTATCTGCATTTCAATGGTAGTTTTTCATAATTTTTTCTACTTTTAGTCATTTCAAAGGGAGAACAAGCCTTATAAAACTTCGCTAGTATTTATCACTTTCCTTCAAAGCTTTGAAATACCACTTGAAAAGCCACTATACATGTCCAACTCTGCATGTCAATGCTTGAATATTTTTGAATGACTTCAAATGTTTCGGATTAAATTAAAGTCCAAGAGTGAATTTTGTAAAATTTACAGAAAGCCGAAGGTTTGAAAAATAAAAACCCTAATCCCTCTTTACTTCTTTTAGTTTTTTGTGTGGATTGCTAGCTTTATTGGATCGGCAAGATGGACGTAATTAATCCAATATGTGAGAACCACTCATGATCCCACCAATATTGAAAAAGTAAAAGGAAAGTTTGAACATTACCAAATGACCCCAAAAACAAGACTTATTTAGCATTTCTCTCATAATAAAGACTTCTACACCCTTCTCGATGTTCTTATCAGTGTCTCGACAGATGTTAACCGTTGGTAAACACTTCACTTCACTCTCATAGATCGAATTTGAGATCTATTCAGGGATCAAAGGGGAATATCGAAGGAGATAGAAGATCCGCGTCCTACAAACCCCTCGACGTTATATGGCGATTAAGCAATTCCACCGCGGCACCAAGTTTTCGTCTCGGGAAATAATTATTTCGAGAACAACAAACATGAGTTCTGGTGTCAACGTTAATGATGGTTGAATGATTAACTACACTATCTACGACCACACATGAAAATAACTGGGCATCTAACACTGTTCCTGAAACACGTTTACTACACGTTGGGAAACATCTAGAGAAAGAGAGAGAGAGAGAGAGAGAGAGAGAGAGAGATTGAAGAATCTTCAATCAACCTTTTTCCTCAGAAACATCTTATCGAAATGCAATTGCTCAAGGAGGAGACATATCTGGGTTTTCACATTCGTTTTGAAGATTCCTTCTTGTCTACAATAAGTTGCTTTCTGTCTTTTCTCTACAGGGCTGTTATTTATTTTGGCATTGCAAAGAGACAGGCCATTCGCACCCAAATTAAGATAACTTGGACACCAGCATAGTCCGATTCGGTACGGTTCTTTGTGAAGTTCATATCGATGGAGACACTCTTTTTATATAAATCTTATTAGTCTCATGACGTGTGATGCATACGATGTATGTGGTCACTATACTTAACTTGTTCCTTATATGTATCCTATATCAGTTGACGGTGCTTGTGAATGATTCTTTCTACACTAATAGCGGGAGAGATCTAGGATTCATCTTTCCACAGGATAATATTATAAATTGGATCAATAGTATTCCAAATTTATGTTAAGCCTACAAAAGTCTTACGGTTAACTGACCATTCTATATATGATTTTCACCTAATCTGCAATTGATCTGGTTCGCCATATGATACCCAAAGTATATTAACTGCCCCCAAAAAAGTTCTTTTAAATGGATAAGTACAATCTCCTCTTTAAATGATTTGGCTTCTTTTTCCAATCAGCAATGATGCATGCCAGCCTAAAAACTTTAACCCCTTGTCCCTTGATTTCCAAAAAAGTCTTGCGAATTTGATTGTAAAGCAACTTCTAATGAAATAGTCATGCAAAACGTGATTTAGGTGGCCATGCATTGAGAAGCAACAGACAAACTGTTTCACAGTTCCCCTTTTTTGACAAAGTGCAGAATCTCTTTTCATCTTCTTCTCAAAACAAGCACAGGTTCAGAATATTTAGCAGGATATGTTGCTAATAGAATATACAACTTGCTTTTTCTGGGTGCTTGTCAAGAAAGAGCTTTTGCTGGAGAATAAACTTTTTTATTTTTGCTTTTGGTGTGTGGGTGTGTGTTTGTTTGTGAAACAAGAGTAAGGAAGAGGCAAGTGCGCTTATGACGGAAGATAAAGGGACCAAACAAGATTCTAGGTTTAATGTTGCCCATGCAAC